CCCCACTTGACCTCTCAAAGCAAAGTGTCTCACAACAACAGAACAGAGTGTAGAGTAATGAGGGTCATCTTGTGAGATGAGACAGAAGGAGGGAGGGAGATGGAGAGACAGAGGGGGTAAACCACCATACTGTCATGTGGAGAGGCAGTGTTGTATACAGAAGGGTATCTTTTTCATCCACAAGTGCAGGCCCATCTTGGCGGGGGGGGGGGTGTAGTAATTAAGTGGTAAGAAACACAGTGAAACTTAATTCTTTGTATCCCTGGTGTGTGTCATGCAGGATTCCTCTGCTCCTCCTCTGCTCCCTTTTTTCACTCTGTCCTCCATCAAAGACGCTACAGTCTTCTCCATCAGCTTTGAACAGCCTACAGATCCCAAGCTTTTGTCCCTAGTGACCCAGGCAGCGACATGACATTTTGTGCACATTGTTGATTTGTACTGGTCACTTGTTAATAATGTTTGAGTCTCTTGTTCGAGCTTGCGCATAATAATCTTGCTTGATTTTTACATGAGAGGGTACCCAATGTATTAAGAAAGAATCTCACCCACGTACTTTTCATTCACTGATTCAGTCACTCACACACTATGTGCCCATTGTCGCTGTTAGGAGCCATTGCACACCCTGCACACCCTGCACACCAGGATCAGGACCCTTTGTCTCTTGTCTCTAACTTTTAAGCAACTTTATGTGCTACTACATGCGTTTTTTATGTATGTATGACCAAAAATCTTTTTTCTTTGCAGCCCTTAACATGTGGTCATTTGTGATGCATATATGTGAGTTTACTCATCACAAGGAGTACTGTCACTAAAAACAAAATAGCATGATGTCTCCTGTTGCTTGCCAAGTTACAAGCCGGTGGTATGGAGTTTGAAACGTGTGGATTATTTGCCTAGCAGGGAGCACAAAATCTTGGAAGGACTGCTTATGATAGTGGAATGCTAAGTCACCAGAATTTTCCTTTAAGATCTCAGGTGTGGACTACTGTCTGTCTCAACTGTAACTAAATACAATTTAGATATAGACAGAAAGTATGAACAGGTCTTCTGTATCTTTGTTTAACCACTGAATAGGAATCACATGACATTTTCCAGTAGAGAAAGTACAAAAAGGCAAAGTTTTTCCTTTAAACATATCTTAACAGAAATACTGGCAGTGATCAAAATTTGGTAATGTGGTGCTTGGAAGTAGAATACACCTTAAACCATAATAATACCCAGCAAAAGTCAGTCACATAAGGCAGTATTTTCACTCTACTGTGGCTGCCCAATGCGGGAACTTTGCTGTTGTCAGGTGGCCCTGTCTATGTCCTTGGGTGTGAATATTTTACTGGTCTATGCAGGAATAAATGGAGGTCATACAACTGTACTGCAGGTGGGACAGAAGCCACAGAAGGCCATAAAGCCCATGGCCACCACACGTAGGGCCAAAACAAGCTGACTATAGTGTTCAGTGTGACTGGGCGGGTGGGGAGGCTGCCAGCTGTTGGTCACACTATTGTTGTGGCGTTTTCATCGTCCCTGACTGGAACGGTCCGTTTATTCTGCAGCCATCCAATGAGGAAAAAACATCTGGCTTTGTGTAAGCATAGTTAAGGTCAGACTTGGTGATCATGGTTGGAGCCAGTTGGTGTAGGCAAGGGTGATCTGATTAGTCATAATAGCTTCCATCATTTTTCCTAAACAACCACTTCTCAGTTTCAATTTTGTCATTTTTGATTAACAAATGGACTTACTCAGAAGAGACATCGCTGCATTCTTTGGCATGCCCAACAGACTGTCAAGCAATCAGACTCAGAATTATTATTTACAGCCTCTCTAGAGCTGACAGTGAACTTGCTTCCACTGGATGACCATTAATGGAAGCAGTGCAGGCTCTAATCTCTCTTCTAAAAACCATTCCTCTGTTTTCAAAACTGCAAATAAACACCAGAATGAGTGTCTGCAGGCAGCACGGAGACAAACTGGCTGTCTCTGCTAGTTGTCTCCACATTGCCAGGGAGGAATGAGTCTGATCCACATCCAGTCTCAATGTGGAGCTCCATCCTTAATCGTTAACCCAAATAAAGACCTATGCAGCAATTTGCAGATGACTACCAGATGATGGCAATAATAATTACAAAATGCTCTTGTGTAATTGCTGTTCTTACTGTTGTTTTGCAAGTGGGACATTTGTGGTA